AAATAATCATGGAAACGCAAAAATGCAAAAAAATTTGTTTAAAAAAAACAAACATTTCATAAAATTCTTACCTCTTGTTTGCTTAATATATTTGTTTTTTGTTTGTTAGGCACATGCAACAAAATGTAAATAAACAAAAAACAAACAAATCAAACAAACAAGACTATCTTTACCGCAGACTATCTTGAGGATATAAACCACGTACTTTTCTCTTGCCCACGTTTCAACAAAGCCAGAGCAAAGATGAGTAAGGATATTAGCGAGGCCATATGCATGAATAATTTAATCTTGAAAATGATAAGCTCGCCGGGTACATGCCATGAGGATCATGTCTCAACTTAGATGACAACTTAGATGACTCGACTTTGAGTCATGATCCTCGCCAGAGCCAGCGAACGCGCCGCAATAGAGGTCGACTCTCAAGAAATTGGACAGTTACGAACTCGGACGACATAACTAACGATTTGAGCTGATGCTCAGGATGCCTTCTGACATAATAGTTTACGATAGTTCCAGAAAGGACTTTCCGTCCGGACATGAGAACATGTTTTTAGTGGAATAAAGCTCCGCACTGACTTAGACTTTCGATGCTTTTGAGTTTCCGTTAAAAAATACAAGATCCATATTTTCATTTTTATTTTCGTGTAAAGGTTAATATGGTATAATACGGCGTTTACATTGGCCGAAAATGGCTCATTTTGAATGACTCATTTGAAAGTGTTTACATTCGTTGTATTTCATTCGTTGTCATGGTAACAATTCAAACTGAAATAAAACTACTAAACATTTGTTTATCTTTTTTTGTAAATATGTCAAAACAGCTTTTACAAACTGTCAAAATGCCATGAAGAGCTTTCATTTAGGGTATGTTCAATAGATTCCTTTGCATTTGGAACATATGTGGAATGCATTCGAACGTCATTCATACAGAATGTGAGAAAATTGCTCATTTTGTGCTTGAAATTTTATATGCAAGAATGAGCCATTCGATACTCATTTTCGATTTTTGACCAAAATGAACCATTTTCGGCCAATGTAAACGCCGTATAAGATAAAATCATTTTCATCTTGATAAAATTCGTTAAATTAGAAAGTGTAGACATTGTGCTAAATTATATAATTTCAGAGCATTAAAATTCATTTTCATTTTTATTTTGATTTATTTTATAATATATAAATATTATATTATGTTCAGAGACACCTCATAATTTCACAAAAATCTTAATTTCATCTTCGTTTCAGCGAAATTAAGTTGTTTTTTTCATACAAAATTCAGTTTTAAGCTTAAAACGATATAAAGGAAATTGACCTTAATTTCCTTAAAACAAAGGTTGAAATTAATATGGCATTTACACTGGCCTCAAATGGCTCATTTTGGTCAAAAATCAAAAATGAGAAGCAAATTACTCATTTTTGCATGCAAAATCTCAAACGCAAATAAAATCCACTAGATCTCATTCTGTATAAATGAGTTCCAACAAGTTAATATGGCGTTTGCATTGGCCGAAAATGGCTCATTTTGATCAAAAATCGAAAATGAGTAACGAATGGCTCATTCTTGCATATAAAATTTCAAGCACAAAAATGAGCAATTTTCTCACATTCTGTATGAAAGACGTTCGAATGCATTCCACATATGTTCCAAATGCAAAGGAATCCATTGAACATACCCTTAATTGAAAGCTTCTTCATGGCATTTTTGACAGTTTGAAAAAGCTGTTTTTGACATATTTACAAAAAAAGGTAAACAAATGTTTGGTGGTTGTATTTTCTTGATACGATGCACTGCTTTTTAGAACTTTTACTTCCCAAAAAGTAATTAATCGAAGTTAAAAATATGTTTTAAGTTTCTAATGTAAGGTTTGAAGGTATATTTCACCTTCCTGTAACATTTTTTTGGCACAGACCAAAAATTAAATCAACATGCAAGTTGAAAAATCAGCTGTTTGAAATCAGAAAAAATGAAATACAACGAATGTAAACACTTTCAAATGACTCATTCATAATGAGCCATTTTTAGCCAGTGTAAACGCCATATTAAAATGAATCGTTTCGGCCGGTGTAAACCTGAAATTCACTAAAGCTGATAAAACTACTGAATGCCACACTTTATAGTTATAATAATCAACTTTTTAAATTTCCCAGATACAAATAGTGTTCGGAGCATTTAATTTTTTATATTTGATTTGTAAACAAAAACATATGTTTTCCTTAATTTGAGACAGTATGAACATTTTCGAAATTAACTTAAATGCATTTTTACGAAATTAACGAAGTTTGACTGTCTGCACATAATATTATTACCTATCCTTAAACTATCTTTTAAATCTTATATCATTATTTTTTAATAAAAAATTACTAATAGGGAAAAGCATGATAAATTGAGTTATTTAATAAAATAATAATAAAGAAACTAAATTTTTGTAACATAAACAAAATTCATTATCATTTTTTTAAATGTAAAAATGATGGCATATACAATTATAAATTTGGTCGTTATAAATTTATAGTAATTTATTACTTAAAATAATTTTAATATTATAAAATTTAGTATAAACAAAAGAAGACATTTATGAGCGAAACTGTTCTAAACTCAATTGCTCTTTGTATAAAAAATCTTTGCTGCAAAAATGCGAAATTATTTTTAACCGGTTACTTAACTAATCTGCATGCATTGATTACACAACACTAATTTCGGTTGAAAACAACATTACTGCATCTGATGTTATTTTTTTGCAAGGAAAGAAAATTATTCTAGAAGAAATCGTTAACAGACAAAGAAGTGTTATTCTTAATAGAAAAAAGTGAAGTTAGAAGAACTAAATAAACTAAATTATGGGAAAGAAAAATAGTGAGTGAGGGTTAAATTAAGATTGCTAAATTTTCTGATGAAATTATTACAGAGAAGAAGCCCGAGGCTGATGGCAAAAAGCCAGAGGAACAGGCGTCCACTTCGCAAGGAACGGCACAAACACAAAGCGGTAAATATATATTTATATATCTGTACGTTTATATAGATAATGATTAGAAGTGCATTAAAAAGAAGTTAAATGCGTTATATACACGTCATCTATTAAAATCACTCACTTGGATTCTTCTGTAATTTGGTGGAATAATGTAAAATCTTACATATTATATAAAAATCTGTATAATCTTGGATTTAGCATTTTATAAAATTTTCATTTTCGCAAATGTGCGAAATGCATATAAATATGTACATACACGAATTTGTGTCTATTTATATGATGTTTGCTATAGAGCGTAAAAATCAAACGTAAATTTTATTAAAAAACAAATTTTTTTAAATCAATTTTATTTTTTATTAGTTTTTATTCACTATCTTCATTTTAAGCTAAAACTTATTTATAACAGATTAGTAGCAAAATTATAATAATTAAAAATGTAAAAAATCAGCGCTATCGGTTGCAAAAAAAGTCTGCGTACAAAACATAAAAAGGGGAATTCCCGAACTTTAACTTTGGCGTGCTTTATATTTCACTGAACCAGTATATCATAATACACAATCCCACGCACTTATTTTATAATTAAACGATTAAAAATTAATTAATTTTATAATGGCAAATAAAGGAAAATAAATTATTATCAGTAAGAGCAGTATTATTATTCGTCTATGAAAAAAAAGGAAAATAAATCGCGAAATTGGTCAAATCGTTAAGCGGTCACATTCTTATATCCAAATAGTAGTGAACAACTACCTCGATTATTGACCTCGAAGCTGGGATCCAAGCTGTCAACAAAAGAAACCCGCAGCATTATTAATTCAGTGTAAGATAATCCTCGTCTAACTGGATTTCAATTAAAGAAGTATATTGAGCAGACATTCCAGAAGTAAATTCTATATACTATATATATACTGTTCTATTCTATATATACTATATACTGTACGCAAAATATTAAAAAAATACAACTAATATGGCGGGATTGAACGAAAGATACCGTTTATCTCCAAAGCTAATATAATGTAGCGTTAAGCATTCGCAAGGAGGTATTTAAATAAGTTTCCAGACTTTGGAAACGCATAATTTTTTCAGACGAAAGCAAATTTTGTCCCCTTAGCATCAAAGGTTATATGACGAAAAACGGGTACTGCCTTTAACAATAAAAATTTGTATCCAACAATAAAACGCCGTAGTGGAGGACTGATAGTGCGGGAGTGTATGGCGAGTAATGGAGTTAGAAAAATTAATTTTATTGTGTGTGTATCGATAATGAATAAAGTTGATTATTTAAATATCTTAAAATGCAATTTAAATTTAAAATTTAATGAATAAATTGGCAGAAGTTGTAAAGTTTTGATTGCTTTATAATGTACCTAAGCAAATGAAAACGCATATTTTGAACATAATCGTCTATAGAACATTTTTAGGATTTACTGGAGCTAATAAATGCTTAAGATGAGACTGCGAAGCTGGTTAATTCGATACCAAAGCGATTTATGGAGGTTATAAATAGGTAATGTTATCCAACAAGTTACTGAAAACGTAAAATGCTTTAAAAAATAATATAGCTTAATATAGAGCTTTTTCAAGTCTTGACTTGCAGATTTTTTCTGTAACCGATAGCGCTGATTTTTTATATTTTTAATTATTATAATTTTTCTACTAATCTGTTAGAAATAAGTTTTGACTTAAAATGAAGATAACGAATAAAAGTACTAAAAAAAATAAAATTTATTTATTTAATAATTTTTTTAGGTTAAAACTTTCTGTACGCAGAGTTTTTCTGCTCAGTGTATATAGTTTAAATTTTACGAGGTGTGCTCATAATGTAACTATAATTTTAAACATTTCCAACAGACCATTTAGTCCTAAATATTTATTCCAATCTCTTCACAATAGTTGTTCATTAATATTAAGACCATTGTTATTTCTGGTTTGATAAAAAAAAATCGAGGGTATTCCAATCTTTTTAAAAATACATCATTAAAGTGTCATCTTAAATTTGAGAATAAGAAAATAGACAAAGTGTGTCATATTTAAAAAATAGGGTCGTTGTGACATTACTATAATATTATATTTCATCACAAAAATACTGGATAAACAGCAAACATATATAACATTTTAATTACTTTAGCAACAGAATGATAATCTCTATATTAGCAATCGTAATCTATTTGATATTCTCCACATTTTATTTAATGAAGACGTGTTGCTCTTGCGATAGGCAAGCACAATGAAAACCTGTTAATAACCACGCAGAAAATTGGCAGAACAACCAATACGTAAAAACAGACTCAACTAGATAAACAAAATAAAGCGCTTAATTTCAAGATTCTTGTTACTTATAGATTACATCCAATATAAATATTAAATTCTTATTATTTATTATTATTTGTCAATATAAGCTGATAGTAAAAACAAACAAGAACAGAAATTAGAGCAACAAAAGTTACCGCAAAAACTAATTCAAAAAAGTAGTGTTGTTGTACAGCAGCTACAACAAAAAGAAGCACACAACGGTGCTGAGTCTCAAAAGTTAAGACATCAAGAGTCACAACAACAACTTCCACAACGGTCAAAAGATCGCGATCAGGTAAAATGTCTAGTACAATGCAAATTTCAAAAACAAGTCGTAGGCTCTGAAGTTCAACAACAAATATGTGTCGCTGGTCAATTTAAAGGTCTAGAACATCAAAAATTTAAACAATTGTCGCAACAGAAACAGCTGAAAGAAATTGTTCAGTCCAAGGATCTTACACAACAGACAGACTGCTCTGTTTTACGAGAGCAAAACCGCATAGATGATCAATTTAAAGATACAAGAATAAATCAAAAATCACAACAACAATTTCTAGAACAAAAGCAGTGGAAAGACAATGGTGAGTTAAAATCTCCAATAAAACAAAAATCTCAACGAAAATTTCGTGAACAAGCAGTAGATCTTGACATACAAAAACAACAAAAAAGTGATTCTGATCAATATAAAAATCCAAAACAGCAAGATTCACAGCAATTGCTACAACAAAAACAATGGAAAGAAAGTGGTCCGTCAAAAGGTTTTGAACAACAACAACAAAGTCAGGCTGAAAAAAGAGACGCTAATTATCGACAGCAACAGCAACAAATACACATTGGTAATCAATCTAAAGGGCTCAGACCTCAAGAATCACAACAAAAATTAAAACAACAGTGGGAAGTAAATGGTAAGTAAAGAGATTTGAGGCATTAAAAATCTCAATGACAATTCAGAAGCAGGAAAAGCTATGTGGTTCACAACAGCGACAGTATTAAAAATCCGATGTTGGTCAATCCGAATGCCCAAAATTACTGCATTCATTACAGCAATAATGTGCACTATTAAAAACATATAAAGTTTTATTGTATTCCATGCCTTTCTTACTCAACTGATGATCCGCGTCTAAAAAATTTGTCTAATTTTTAATACAAAAAAATGTTTTTGACCTTTCTATTAAAGTTAAAACTGCCAAAGATTTCAATCTTGAAATTTAATTTTAATTTCAAAAAACAATGTTATAAGGCCTTTTCTTTTGTAAACATATTACAAAAGAACAACTGCTTATCTTAAAAATAACATATGAAACAACAACACTGCTAGCTTATTTAGTCCAACCTTTTTGAAATTGCTTAACGAATAAGCAGCTCAAATCACATGGTTGCCAAAACTAAAAATTCGTCTATTGTGAACGATTTTTGGAAGTACATACGAAATTTCCAGTTATCTGGCAACGAATGATTTCGTTAATTATTCGCATTTCGTATCGTCATTGTTCGTAACAAATACGATCTTTTTTCTATTTATTATTTTACTGTTAAAAGGCACGAAAAATTTATTTTTTATTCAGAATCATGTAAAAAAAAATATTCTCATCAATAATTGCAAAAAATTATTATTCATTTTCGAAACACAACTTTAAGTTTTATTACGTGTTTTGCACATATAAGCCTAACAAAATCTCCATTTTGTCCACAGTTTCCAACGAAAGTAGTGCTTATTTTATTTGGTCTTTTTCGACATGCTTACAAAAGAAAAGGCCTTTAGTCAAATATTTCTTTAAAAAATTTCATTTGCAACGAAAGAAAAATAAACCAAAAATTAATCGTAAAAGATTCGAAATTAATTTAAATTAAAGGTTTTATATATTGTTTACCAGTTGCGACGAGTGCACTATCTGGAAGGATGTACGGTTCTTCCACAATAAGTTTTTTCTTTTGTAAGCATATCGCAAAAGAACAACATAAAATAAGCACTACTTTTAATGGTAACTCTGGAAGAACAACAAATTTCGAAAATGAATAATAATTCTTTGCAATTATGGGTAAAAATGTTTTATTTTTTACATGATTGTGAAAAAAATTTGTATATTCAGAAACTTTAACAGAAAAAAGTAGTAAATTAAAAATAATTAAATATTATTTGTCAAATGTTTGTTGACAGTTAACTGAAGATTTTGTACGCACTTTTAAAAACCGTTCACAATAGAAGAATTTTTAGTCTTGGCAGCCATGCGATTTGAGCTGCTTCTTAGTCAAACGGTTTCAAAAAAGTTGGACTAAATAAGCCAGCAGTGTTGTTGTTTCATATGTTTTTTTTTAAATAAGCAGTTGTTCTTTTGTAATATGCTTACAAATGCTTACAAAAGAAAAGGCCTAATGTTGTTTTCACATATACCGGTTAAATCAAAAATGATAAATTAAAATAGATGAGATGTTTTATTAACAATAACTATATTATATTAGGCAACAATACATGCACAACATTTCACAATTCATTAACTAAATATTTAATTTATATACATATATATGGATAAGTTTAATATTATATCAATATAGAATAAAAAAAAAATTTTTCACTTACTTCTCACAATATCAAAGCAACTTTTTTCAAACAAAAGAGTCTGTACTCAAAACCATGCATGTTTATGCAGTGATCAAACAAAATCAAAGGCATTTGCAACGTATTAATGTGCGGCCAACTACTGCGCACAACTAGCGGGTGAAATTCGTTTGTGGTAATGCTAAAATGGGAGAGGCGAAAATTAATAAAAATGTACGGTGATGTGTGAGCTGCAAACTTTACCACACGTCTAACTGTTTTGGCAAATCAACATGTTTAATTCATATGCATACAGTTCATATTCGAATAGAACAGAATAATTACTCTTATACATTTCTTATTATATAGATCTCTATTTCTCACATTTTATGCGAGAGCACACACGAAAGATGAAAGACGAAATATAATAAAAATGTTCTGCGATTTGAACTACTAAGTTATGAACACATATAACAACTACAGATTTTTTAGACAATTCTACTTAATTGTCTTTGCTAAAACTTTAATCTTTAAAAATATATTTATATATTATATGTAATAAATTATATTAATTCTAAATGTAAAGCAATTTTAATGAATTTATATATTTTATTAGACATTTTGTAAATTATGTTAAGGTATGCGCCGCATACCTCCGCACCTTAGAGCAGTCGTCACTGTTGCTTACATATAAGCATTTTTTACATATGCATTTATTTTAAACATAATCTTATTTATTTCATTAACTTTATATAAGATGATGCCAAAGCTAAACAAAAACCACAACAACAACAACAACAGCAACAGCGGCAAGATGGTGGTCAGTCAAAAGGAGCAAGACCAAAACAACAACAATCTCAACAACAACCGAAGCAGGAAGTTGGATTTGATCAACGACAACAACAACAACGGCAAGAAGGTGGTGAGTCAAAAGGGGCATGGGCAAAACAACAGCAGTCTCAACAACAGCCGAAGCAGGAAGTTGGACTTGATCAACAAAAACAACAAGAGCAACAGCGACCACAGCAACAGAGGCCACAACAACAGCAACAGTGGCCGCAACAACAGCAACAAAGACCGCAACAACAGCGACCGCAACAACAGCAACAGTGGCCGCAGCAACAGCGACAAGATAGTGGTCAATCCAAAGGACCATGGCAACAACAGAGTAGAGAAGGTAGCACCGATCAACGACAACAACAGCGACCACAGCAACAGCAACAGTGGTCGCAGCAACAGCGACCGCAACAACAGCAACAGCGGCAAGATAGTGGTCAATCCAAAGGACCATGGCAACAACAGAGTAGAGAAGGTAGCACCGATCAACGACAACAACAGCGACCACAGCAACAGCAACAGTGGTCGCAGCAACAGGCGACCGCAACAACAGCAACAGAGACCGCAGCAACAGCGGCAAGATAGTGGTCAATCCAGGACCATGGCAACAACAGAGTAGAGAAGGTAGCGTCGATCAAGGACAACAACAGCGACCACAGCAACAGCAGCAGTGGTCGCAGCAACAGCGACCGCAACAACAGCAACAGAGACCGCAGCAACAGCAACAGCGGCAAGATAGTGGTCAATCCAAAGGACCATGGCAACAACAGAGTAGAGAAGGTGGCTTCGATCAACGACAACAACAATATAGAGGATCTAAACCGCAAGAATCCCAACAACAATATCAACAGAGAGAAAAGGGTGGCTATTATGAAGATCGACGACCGCAGCAAGCACAGGCACAACGTCCTTCAGAACAACAGCTGATGCAGCAATTTGGACCTCAAAAAGAAATACCTACAACTTCTTATATTCCACGCGGAACTGCTGGTAAATCTTCAACAGTTGAAACAAATTATTTGAGGATTGATATGGAAAAAATGCCTAGTGTGGCATATCATTATGACGTGTCTTTTAATCCAGATCGGCCCAAAAAGTTCTTAAGACAAGTATTTAGGGCATATAATGTTGCATATTTTCCAAACAACTTAATGGCATTTGATGGATCCAAGTCGTTTTATACTGCAAAAAAGTTGGAAT